AGCCTGAGAGATCTGCCCACACTACAGGTGCACATCCCGGCTGCGCTGCGGCGCTGGAGGCTGAGCCAAGGTTCTTTTCCCTCAGAACAAGCAGTTTAATTACAGCTGTTTCATACACGTGTAGTTATGGATTCTGGAAAAACTGACAGCAGATTTCAGGGGAAGACACTCTGGAGCTCACCACCTCCCCTCAGTCTGCAGGGACAAAGCTGGCTTTGGAATCTGGAGTTTGCTTTCTCCTTCTTTTGTTCACTGATGCAACAGAACACACTGAAGATCAAATGGGTAATACCACTGCCACTTCTTGATTTTTATCTCACAAGCTTTGTGTTATTTTTCCCTCAGAACAAGCAGTTTAATTACAGCTGTTTGATACACGTGTAGTTATGGATTCTGGAAAAACTGACAGCAGATTTCAGGGGAAGACACTCTGGAGCTCACCACCTCTCATCAATCTGCACACTGTAGGGACAAAGCTGGCTTTGGAATCTGGAGTTTGCTTTCTCCTTGTTCCACTGATGCAATAGAACACACTGAGGATGAACTGGGTAATACCACTGCCACCTCTTGATTTTTATCTCACAAGCTTTGTGTTATTTTCCTCCCTGAAGCTCTGGCTCTTGGAGTTGCACACATAATCACATGGGAACACTGGCAAAATTTTAGCAAAAAGAACACCACTGGCCTCCTGTGTATGCCCAGAGGGCCCTGTTTTACAGGGAACTGCATGGTTTTGGTGATCAATTCAGATTTTCAAGTACCCAGCCAAAAGCAGCTGTTCTGTTCTGTTTGGCACACTGTCCAGGTACAGCCCTGCTGTGAAACATCCTGCCCCAGAGCAATGGTGCTCAGCTACCTGCTCCCCTGCACAGCTGCTGCCCCTTTGGATGGCTGAAAAATCCCAGAGAAAATAGTTGTGCCCACCTCTCACTGCTGAGAGACCCTGCAATCCAGCAGTCCCACAAAAAATCCCAGCCCAGAAGGCAAAACCCAAGCTCCGAGCAAGTCCAGAGCGCAGCACAGAAAAGGAGAAATACCCACCGTGGTTTCTAACAAAGGAAGCTCTGCAAGGAGAGCTCCAAAGCCCTCAGCTGCCTTGCACATTCCTCTCAAGTGGGACACATCCAAATCCAGTGTCTGGACACTCCTGGCTCCCCGAGCCCCAGCTCCCTGGGGCCAGCACCAAACCTCAGCCCCTGGTCCGCACCACCAGGACATCTCTCCTTCCTGGCTGCAGCAAGGGAGAGCCCAGCTCCCTGCCAGCACAAGAACCCAGAAGAAACAAGCATGGTTTTGGTTTTATTTCTGAGGTTTTAACCCCGACATCCTGGTTTTCTGATGCTTTAGGTCTGAAGTTGACGAAGCGAAGCAAAGTGTGGAAGCAGAAGTTCAAGCAAATTTCTGTCAAATTCACCAAACTTATAGCTCAGTGAGAGAAGAACATCTTTTTTGCTATTCCTCAAGGATATTTTGTTACTAAACTTACAGCAATTTATTTTTTTAACGTTCCCCCAAGTGAAAGCAAGGTTTGGCAACTTGCAAGGCAGGAACAAATTTTTACTTTTCATTTTGCTAGGATAAAATTAATTTTGCCTGAGGGAAGGCAACTTTCAATTGGATTGAAGCTCAAGGAGGGACAGGAAAAAAAAAAAGGAACAAAAAACACAAAATCACTCATGTGAAGAGTGAATAGGATGCTGTATTTGCTTGGGAAGAAGGCCTTTCTAAACTCTGCAGTTCTCTGGACTTCATTCAGAGCATGACAGCCCAGCAGAACTCACACCACATCAAGCCCACCAGGTGCATAAACAAAAGAGAGGAGAGAGATCAGAAGGCTCAGCTCCACCCGAGGGGTCTGGGTGTGTGGTTCAGTGCCACAAGTGAGTAGCCAGCAAGGGTTACCTGCTCCACAGCCAAGCACCACAAATCACACTACCATGAGCTATGACTCACAGGAGAAATATTGATAAAGTTGCTTTTGAAATAAGACGAGGAAATGTAAAAAAAATAATTGCACAAAAACTTCTTTGGCTGTTTAATTTAAGCACTTTCATGCCTGAGGGTCTAAATGAATACAGGGAGATCTTTTTGTTCCTGCAGCAATCAAGTATTTCCTGCCATTACTGATAATGACTCTAAAACAGCACACTTAAGCAGGGCTGTTACTTTATTTTCAGCCTTTCTGAGGCGGGAGTGGAAGCGCTGAAGCGGGGGAGGAAAGAAGGTGATGACAGCTCCTCAGAGGAAGCGTATGTCAGTCTGGAGAGGAGCTAACCAGGGCTGGCACCAGGACCTCGGCCACCCCCTCCAACCTGAACCTCCAGACCTGTGACATCCCACCCTGACACAGCCCCAGAGCCTGTCACCTTCTGGCAGCTAATAAACCCCGTCTGAAACAAGAGCAAGCTCTGGAGTTCCTCCAGTGCAATTTGAGTTCTGAATCTGGTAGCACAGGGACCTGACCCAACACTAAACCAGCTTTAAAACATCTTTCTTCTTGGCTTCCAGTGGGTGAATCACATTTCTGAACAGGACTGGGCGAGTAAATGATACTTTGCCTGAATTGACACAAGTAATTCTCACTCCTTCCTCTTCATCTTTTGCATGAGCTGAAACTGTCAAACATGGCCCAGAATCACAAGTGTTTCATTTAAACAGTATCACCACTTCAGTGAATAAACTGTCCGATTTTTTTCTGTCCATCTCCAGTTCCACACACCTTCATGTGGATACCACAAGGACAAGGGGATGGGTAGGAGAGGCCAGAAGAGCACCTGCTGTCTGACAGCAGACACTGCCATGAGAAGCCACCAGGATCCAAGAGGAAGGGGACAAGCAGCTCTGACTGCAGGGCTGGACACTCGGAGGACAGGCAGCAAGAGACAAGAGGCTCCTGAGAAAAGACAGCAGGCTGCTCTGTGGCTCTGCTTCCACAGGCACTCACCACAACCACAAACAGCCACAGGACCAGGCCAGAGCCCATGATGGGCATTTCTCAGAAAAAGGCAAAAAAAACCCCCAAAAAATCCTAAAAATGGTCTTTAGGCTGGAATCAGTCCATTTCCCTACTTTAATACTTCTACAGTTTTTGTTGCAAAGGCAAAGTGAGCAAAACCCCCACTATCTGGAGCAGTTCTGATGATGAAATGATACTGGACATTGGATAAACCATTAGGAAATGAAAGTAGCAGTTGGCAAATGTCATGGCAGGCGTTCAAATGAGCCTGCAATCACCCGAGCACTAAAGAACACAGATCTCCCCTCTAGCACCTCAAGGTGTGTTTATTGCCAACACAGCACAGAAGCCAAGCACTGCAAAAAGCCACAGCACATTTTAACAGGAGGTACTCCACTTCCCTCCACCAGCAGGTGAGGTAAAACTGCTTTCTTAAACACAGAATCAGAATCACAGAATAATGAGGCTGGAAGAAACCTCTAAGATCATCGAGTCCAGCCAATGCCCTAACAACTCAACTAGACTATAGCACCAAGTGCCATGTCCGTTTCTGCTGAGCTGCAAGGTGTTTATACAGGTTCACTTGGGAAGTAAGCAGGAAAAAAAACCCTTTTCAGGCAGCCTTTCCCTCCTGACACCTGCTCAAGGGAAGGAGAAGCACCTGAAGACCACCACACATGGCGCTGTGGGGATGCTAGGGAGGTTTGAGCTCTGCAGATTCCCAGATCACAAGGGGCCCCCAGGCTTTGGTTGTACAGCACTCGTGCATTATGCTCAGCAGCACCACAAAGTGCCCCAGATTCCCTGAGCAGCCCTTGGAGAAGGCAAAGGCAGCCGTGCTTGGTGAAACCCCAACTGCTGTGCCACCATTTGGAGCCTGATCCAGCAGCAGCACAGCCAAGGGAAGGACTGGGCTGCCCAGGGATGGAGCCTTCCAGCAGCTCTGCCTGACCAGGATTTCAGCCACCCTACTCCTGGCCACGCTTTCAAACATTTTGAAATGAAAGCACAGCTGACACCACTTTGCTCTGTCGTGCTGCAGGACCACAGGCAGCACCGCTGTCACTGCTGTGCCCATGCCCTTCTGCCAGCTCTTTCACTCGTTTGCTGAGCAGCAGAACTGAGGCATCCTGCAGGTCATCCTCAGCCCACCACCTCCACAGGTAACTCCCACAGACACTGCCTTTTGGGAATGTCACACTCCCAAATGCTTCTGACTGCCACCTGGCCTAACACAAACAGTACTTAACAGTACTTCACGTTATTTGCATTTGCACTGTGACAAACACAAACAAAATCGACAAAACCACAGGCAGGACCTTAACTGTGTTACTTTCACTTCCTTTCTGCAGTACTTTGCTTCAGTTTCTACCACGGAATGTCACACCATGACAATTTCAACAAGAAACAGTAATTTCACATATCTAGGTATTTCTGCTTTCTCTTTCACAAGTAAACACGGGGTACTCAGTAATTATAGCTCTACTTTCTGAAAAAAAGTGGGGGAAACCCCACACACCACAAATAAAATCTTCCTACAGACCACTCTATTTGGTGAGGGCAGCAAGAACAGCTGCAATGGTGAGACAGAAGGTGCTGAGGTACCAAGCACAGTGGGGGAAAATATTACTGCCAGTGCTGATGTGAGGCTGTGAGACTGGGTCTGCACTCTGCCAGAATTATGCAAACAAGCAAAAATTGAGTAAGAAGAATTTTTGTACCAGTCTTTGCTGTCTAAAAAAGACCATAATCATCCATCTGTCCAGAAATGTTATTAAGGATTATGGCAGAGGAAAAATTATAGACAGAGAAGTGCAGCCAGAACTGGTTTTGTTGGAATTTCTCCTGGGGCAGGTAACCTACATTAGTCCTGAAGAACACAGAAAAACCCTTCCCCTCCTCTCCCCAAAACTTGAGGAAATGATATCCAAGCTCTGCTGCGAAGAGCAGCGTTTACGGACTTAAAAATAAGCGAGTCCTGGCAGTAGAGATGTGAGGAAGCCATCAGCAGGACTGAGGAGCTAGAGGCAACTTCCATTCCTACCTGGTTCAGTGCAGTTTCTGATGTAGAGCTGCCCCCCATCCTCTGGAACGTCACTCGCGTTCTGCTCACGCGCCTGCAGGAGCTGCCGCCCGCTCCACTTGTCACCATTTTCCACAGAATAGCTCAGGGCATCGTAACCTGCAGGAAAAGAGCAGTAGATACATGAGGAAAGGCAGCTCCTGATCATCTTGAAGCAGCCGAAACATCTGCATTTTAAAAGCGTCACGGCTTCTTGGGTTTAAAGGGGCGGTGTTTCTAAGTCCACTGGAATGGGACACTGCCACAGCTCCCCATCCCACGGGAACCATGTGCATTCCTCCATAGCTCCTGAAGTTCATCCTAGGAGAGCATCTCTGTTTTCCCACCCAGCACCATCTGACTGAAGGCAGAGCATGCCTCTGACTCATTTCCACACCTCCAGTAACAAGAAATGTCCATGAACACGAGGGGCAGTACTTTGTCTCACTACCTTTGACTCAACCCTTGCTCTGCTTCCCCTTCAGCTTTTCCTTGGTGCTGCTAAGGGAAGCTCTGTTTTAGCAAAGTCAACAAAGACAGCTGGCTGATTTCTACAACATTCCTGGCACAAGGCTGGTCAGCCCTGGATATGCCATGTCTGCCTAAAAAATCAGCTGAACAAACGCGCTCATGTGTCAGCTCCATGCCTCTTATGCTGGTTCAGATTCAAGGGAGGAAGAAAAAAGTCTATTTTTTTTTTTAAAGCCAGAAGATACCCACACACCAAATCAGCCCTCTTGCAATGGAGACCTTGCAGCCCTCCAGTATCAAACAGCATCTGAGAAGGATTTCCTCCCATCCTTCCATCCCCTTCCCAACAAGGAGAACATGGGCTCTCTCACAAGGACTTCTGAATTATTCCCAGTTTGGTCCACTACTTTGGAAACAGATCACAGGCAAAAAAGCAGTAGGATAGAGATTCAAATCTTGGGCCAATGCTTCAGAGGGTGATTAAGGACAAAGAAAAAGGTTCTCTGCAGGTCCCAAGCCTTGTGTTAGGTTCCCTGGCACATTCAGGGATGCCCATCCTGAGACTTGTCTGCCTTGCCCAGATGATGCTCTGCTCAGGCCACTCCACGCCACGCTAGGAGGGAATGTTTGGGAAAGGGATGCCTGGGAATCTGCATCCCAGGCCACCAGCAGTAACTGGGACCAATCTCTCAGGATACACAGGAGTCATCTGGGTGCATGTTTGGGGGAAGAGCCACAGCTGCACAGGCAGCCTGAAGCACCCCTGTTTTCTAAGCAAAAAAAAAACCCCATTTACCTTGGTAAACCAAATGCCATCATTTGAAGCTTCAAGGACTTTGTCCTTTCTGTGCTTTACAAATGTTAGAGACTGGAATTTGCTGTCAGTTTAGTCTGTGAGCACCAGTAAGATTAAGCTGATGGAAGCGGGCTGCATTTCCAAGAAGGAGCACAAGCTGTAATGCAGCATCAAGGATCTCCCCTAACAACAAACACTCTGGTAGCCTGAGCAAAGCAGTTTCAGTTCCACATACAAGCTGCTTTCAAAGCAGAGGAACTCTTTTCCAAGCCAGCAAGGCTTCTCTGTGTCACTGCATGGAGCAATGAGGGAGGGAGGACACAGGGACTGCCATGGCACCCGAAGTCCAGCAGAACCTCTGCCTCTCTCGGATGGCAAACTCTTCCAAACGAGGGCTAAAGAAGAAGAATGTCATTTAAGGTGACTTTGGAAGGGGAAAAGCTTAATTTGGCAACAAGAGTGTTTATAAAGGCTACATCCAGCACTGACAAAAATCAGAGTAAATAGCAGTGGACTTGGTCCACGGCTGAGCTCGACGCAGTGGCTGACACCAGGAAAAGCTCTCCTCTGGCACCTCCAGGCCTGAGCAGGGCCAGCTGTCCCACAGCAGAACCTGCAGCCCACCACCCCCAAAATCCTGCCCAGGACATCTCCATTCTAAACACATTTCACTCAACAGAGCAACAGAAAATAGATGTTAGAGATTAACCTTTTTTAAAGCTTTGGCCTTCCAAGGATTTTCCTGTGAAAACAGGGACACGTGGAGATTTTAACCTTGCTAACAAGGACACTCAGTGACACATAAGAGGGTCCCTGTGGTTTCCCCATGTGCTGGCACCAGTCTCCTTGTGGTGTGGTGGAGGCTGCTCAAGGCCTGCCCTGCTTTAGGTGCTGGCACAAGCACCAGGGGCATCACCTCAGCCACAGAATTCCACACCAGGGCTGCCAGGCCACCGCCACCATGGCCAAACTCTTCTTCCCAAGGAAAAGCGGGAAAACTTATAAAAAAAAAGGTAACAGTTTTCTTTCTCAACTGCAGTTATTCAGGATTGGATAATTTTTAATGGGAACCACAACAAAGAGTTTTTTTCCATTTTTTCAGCAGAGGTAAAGACTGCTAAATATCCTGCCTCAGCTACAGTGCCATTTTGGGCAAGCAAGATGGAACACTTTTCTTATTAATGTTCTAGCTGCTGGCTTTATATACTAAAGTAACACCGTGACATTCTCTAAAGCTCTGGTACAATGCAGAGTTTTTCCAGAGTTCTGTACCATAGCATATTTCAAAGTGAGAGAATTACTTTTTCAAGCACTGAACAAGGTATTTTCCACAACTCCAATTACCCAGCACCAGTTTTACATTACGCACTCAGAACCCAGGTTCTGCAGAGCTTTACCCGCACTTCCTCCCGGAGATATTCCCATGGACAATAAGCACATGAGTCATTTTTCCCTGTCTTTGTGCCTGCTCTGCATTTCATAACAGAACTAAGACAATGCAGACGGTGCATTTCGAGCAGTCTCTTTCCATGAGACAGGGAGCACACGAGTGTGGGCTTGCTGGGAGCTCCTGTCCCCGCTGGGCTGGGGTGGCAGCCTGCTGGGCACAGCCTCTCCACCAACACTGCTCACCTGTTCCTCTGATGAGCATGGAGATGAGGTGGAGCGGAAAAAAGAACTGATCAGACGGCTCAGAGCTCCTGGAAAGGCTCTGTGTGCGACCCAGATCCCCACGTGGGAGCTCAGGAGCTCCTTGCGCTATTCCAGATGGCTCTGGCTGGAGTTTACAACTTTAAGTGCTGCAGAAACACAGCCAAACTCATCCTGGCTGCACTTCCCAGCACGAAGAACACCACCTTACAATGCTGAACAACATCCCCACGTTCCCCAATTGCACTCTGCTCTCACAGGCACATTTATGTTCAGCAGCAAGCAAGGCACAGGAACCCCAAGAAGATGGAACAGCAGCAAGAACTCAGAGCAGACACCCAGCTCCTACAGGGTACAAAGCAAGCTGGTGTGGAGATGGGGGTCCCATGGGATAGGAGATCCAAGCAGCCAAAGGAGACACAAGAGCACCCAACCCCAGAGCTGGAAGAGGAGAAGAAACTCTTCCACTGCAGTGGAGGGTTCAGCTCAACAATGCTGAGGTGAAGAAAGGCAACAAAGATGGAAGGTGCTCGTGAGCAGCCAGCTGGAGCAGGGAAGAGCTGATGGGCAGGGGGCTGGAGCAGGGAAGACCTGACAGGCAGGGCCTTTCTCTGGCACAAAGCACTGCTGCACAGGAGAGCTGGCAGGTGTCCACAGCTCTCACTGACAATAAACTACTTTCTATGCAAACTGCTGGCCAGAGCCAAAAACAGCACAGCTTTTCTGAAATATGCTTGCCCTTCCTCCTCTCTTGTCTGTCCCTTTTATCTATTGTTTTCATGGTGGCAGCTTTGGGTTTTGGAGGGTTGGTTTCACAACCAGCTGAATTATCTCTGTCTCCCTGAAACGTTCCTGCAGTTAATACAACAGGGAAATATTTCAGAGGAAGAAAAAAAGCTGGAACAAGCACGAGCTTCTGCATAAGCCAGCGCAGAGGTGGAGAGCAGCGGTGTGGTGGCCTCAGGACAGAACAGATGAACCCTGCTGGAAGATCAGCACACAGTGAATGAGCTGCAGCCCTGCTCCACAGCTGCCCTCCCACGGCCGTGTCCCTGTGGCCCCAGACCCTAAGGGACACGTCCTGTCAGCCCCTGCACCATCAGACCTACTGCAGACAGCCACCACAGGAGCTTGTGATTGCATAAACACATCATAAATGGATTAGCCCTTTGCCTAGGCTGATTTGGGAGAGGCTTTTTTTCCAAAATCATCAGCAGCAAGGACCATAAATATAGCATCCTTAGGGGAAAAAAATTCCAAACACAACAGAAGCCCCAGAAATCCTACACCTGGCTTTGACAAGCAGCCTGCTCCTTACACCTGATTTCAAAGCTGTATTTCCATGGATCCTGACCCACATGGAAAGGTGCAGAAGGGCAGGGAAAGCACACTGCTGATAATACCTGTACCAGACTGCTGATAATACCTGTAGCACACACTGAGTGAGGCACAGAGGCCAGAGCCAAGCTGCAGGCAGTACCCAAGCAGGGCAGGGTCCCTGCACCAGCAGCCCCTCACCACACACCCTCTCACACATTTTCTACGTGACCACCAGTAGGAAAAAACCCACACAGCCCCTACAAAACCTCAGGCACACCTACAGCTCCCACACTCCTCCAGGGAGGCTCCCCAGCTCCCTCCTAAGGAGCACAGAGCCTGCTGAGGGTCCCACAAAGCTTCTGCCCCTCCCAGCCCAGCACTGCTCTCAACAAAGCCCAGCTGGAGTTGGGAGGGCAGAGCACACTCTGAAGGTCCAACAACAGCTCCACAGTTCTCATGGCAACAGAAAAATGTGACTTTTGGTTTATTTTAACTCTGAAAAGCTGCCCAACCTCTGGAAGTGAAATTTCCACACGCATGCTGCTGGGGCCTGCCTCTGCTCCACCCTGAGAGCAAAGAAACTTCAAGGACAGGCAGCGCTCAGCAGAAATGCACCCATGGCTCATCCAGCTCCAGGTGAAGTGCCTGCACCACCTCACACTGGGAAGCCAACCAGGGGAATGGAATCTCACCCAGGGGATGGAAAAGTATCCCTGCGAGAGGTGAATAGACTCCCCAAGAACTCCTTGGTTCCTACATCCCAAAGGGTGCTGCATTAAGCTTAGATAAGTGAAGATAAAATTCTGTCTTGTGCCAAAAACTGTTACTGGATATGTGATTATTTC